TTAAATATAAAACAGCTAAACCACAATAAATATAGCATTTAAACTATAAGAACCACGTGAAAAGGAAGGATGTATCAGCTCAACTAGCATGCTCGTGAACAAAACAAATTTTGATATAGCCTTTTAGTCAGATATAAAAATGTCTTGAATAATAAAACCGCACTAGCAGGCATGATGCTACGCCAGGGGGTCAATATCAGAATATCAAGTGCTGGAACATTTACCATGGAGCCTATTAACATAACTTGGTAAAAGAAAACATATCAGTCTAGAATAAACTTAGATCACAGATGGGAGCTTATTTTTTCCTTTTAAAAAACAGGACGTTGTTACAGATTAAATTTTGACAAAAGAGAATGAAAAATTATGCGCCATAGATCAAGCAGAATCAGCATGAAACAGAAGTTACAAGATCATTTCACCATATGTAATTACCATTTCATCGTATGTAATTAAAAAGAGTTTGTTTTCTCTTTTGAGGGCCTCTACTTAATTTTTCTCAATATTTTTAATAAATTTTGTGCCATGATAGACGAAACAATTTTGAAGTGACTAATTTTTTGCCCTAAAAAAATAGTATATCATGAGAGAGTTTCAAACACTAACATCATTTGACTTAAAACTTAAGACAATGATTGGTACATTTTATATTTCAACACTCGGTTCAACATCTTTCAATTTAGTTATTATAAATTAATAATTTTTTAATATAAAATTAAAAAAAGATAAGTATAATAATACAATCACGCACACATGATATAAAAATCGATTGAATTGACTATATTTATATCATATTTTTAAAAATTAAACCAGAGAATATTGAATCGAAAAGTGTACCAAATATTTCCTTAAAACTTAAATTTAAAATTTAAAATTTTTAATTCTTAATCATTGAATCTGAAAATCATTTTCAAATGTTATAACTCTTGTTTGTACCTTTACAAAAATTACTTTTATAATTAATTTAGATAAGTTTTATTCTTAATTACTTAATTAGATTTATTTACCCTCTCAAAAATTAGATTTACTTAAGAGTGTTTATGCCATATTCTTATATGTGGTTGCTATAGGTTTAAACCCATCTAAAGGTCCATTTAGGCATTATGGTTTTTGTGTAATTTTTGGTTTCCTTTGACCGTGTTCCACCTACCATAACC